TAATTTGTTAAGACGACAGCATTGGAAACCCTGTGGGGCAGTTCTACTCTGTCCTATAGGATCACTATGAGTAGAATCCACTCTAAGGCAACAGGGAATACCATAGACCAAAAAGTAATAAAAACCAAAGCCATTGCCATTGAGTTGACTTATGGCCAACTCATGGTGCCCCACGTGTGACAGAGTAGAACTGCCCGCAGGCATTTCTTGGATGCAATTCTTACAGAAGCAGACCCCTAGGCTGCTTTCTGCAGCAGCAGGAGATGGGTTGGAACCCCCAACCTTTAGGTTACTAGCTGAGTGCAAACCATTTACACCAGTCAGGGTCATGGCATAGCCCAGGAGTCTCAGACTCAAACGAGGAGCCCTCCAATGTCGTACAAGGGGCTGGGTGGTGCTGTGGCCAACCACAGAGGGTGCACTCCACAGAAACCAACAGCACCCCTCACCCAGCCAGTTTCTGCCATTGTTCACGTTAGGGGGAAAAAAGGGAAAAAATAGAGAGAAAGATGCAAAAGAGCCCTGGTGCTGCAATGTTTAAGCTCTCACTGCTAACCAAAAGATTGGCTCTTAACCGCCCCAGCAGCTCTGCAGGAGAAACACAGGGTGATCTGCTCCCACAAAGATGACAGCCTTGGAAACCCTCTGGGGCAGTTCCACTCTGTGTGATAGGATGGCTGTGATCAGAATTGAGTCGATGGCACACTACCACAACATGTGTACGCACAGGCATAAAATATAATACATGTAATGAAAAAACTAAAATACGTAGCTGAGGACTGAAAGATGGAAACCTTAACCCCTGTGTGCCGTGCCCTGCCTTTGCAGCTGGGAATGATCATGGCAATAACCATGAACAGGTGACACTTGTTCTGTTACACTTCAGGTGACCACAAGTCAGAGCTGGCCTGGCAGCACCCAACAACCACAATGAACACGAAGTCTGTGAAGGGGTCTAAAGGCCACCAAACCTATCTGTGTGGTCACCACAGCGTGGCCTCTGTCCAGAACGCAGCACCGACTCCTTGTGGATCATCACCCTAAAGCCCCGAAGACCTGTTTCAGTAGCTGCAGCAGGAGGACAAGGCCTGTTGTCCCTGCTCATGGGTTTGCCTGGAGGATCAGGGCAGAGGAGATTAGGGTCTATTGTAAATCCTCAGGCATGGCCCCACTCTGCTGATAGTATCCTGAGTCCAACAAGGTGTTGTGTAAAACCACAGACATATCCTTGTGAATGTGATAGATGTTGGGTGGGCATGCTGTTAACCTGGACACTTGATTGGTGGAACCTTAACTAAAAATCAGTGGCTAATGACTCAAATTAATGCTACCTTCCCCACAGCTGCCATACTGTGGTTGTAGCACGTTTCCGTGGACCACTCCCTCTCCTCTTTTCTGCTTTGCTGCCTTTCTAACTCTCATTGTCACCTAATATGTTTATTTCGTCTGCTGTTGTTTCTTTGCCCATTACAACCTAAGTGGCTGAGGGCAATGGTTCCTGTGTTTTGTTCACTGATTTATCCCAATTGTCTCAAGGAGTCTCTCTCACATAGTAGATACTCAACTAACATTAGCTGCATGTTGTTGTTATGTGCCATCGAGTCAGACCTGACTCATAGCGACTCCTCCTTAGGTTTCCAAGGCAGTATCACTACGGAAGTAGATTGCCCAACCTTCCTTCCGAGGAGTGGCTGGTGGGTTTGAACCGCCAGCCTTCTGGTTAGCAGTCAAGTGCCTTAGGCACTATGCTACCAGATCTCCCATTAGTTGCATAGAGAGGATGAATATATGGCTATGTGTTTAATAACCTGGCCCAATGCCCTTCCCACTTCAGGATTTTAACTGTCATTTCAACGAAGATACCCTAAGTAAAACTGCAAATGACCGAAGGCTGGAAACAAAAGTTAGTATAATGGATGATAGAAGCAAAGGTGAAAATTGAGTGGGTTACTCAGGTAGAGCCCTGGTAGGACAACCGTTAAGCACTCAAACTGCCTTTCACTCGGCAGTCTGAAACCACCAGCGGCTCCACAGGAGCGAGACCTGATGGTCTGTTCCCATGACGATTATAGCCCAGGAAACCCTATGGGATAGTTAGACTCTGTCACGTGGGGTTGCCAAGTCAAAATCCACTTGATGGCACCCAACAGCGTTCCATTGCGATGTTAGTCTGAGTATGAAAAGCTCACCTTTTTCTAGGCATGAACATGAAGTCCTGCTTTTACTTCCTAAAACAAGACTAAGAGGACAAAGCTGGTTTCACAGCCATTTCCAGTGACTATATAGTCAGGAAACTCTGGTGGCATAGTGCCCAAGGCATTTGACTGCTAACCAGAAGGCTGGTGGTTCAAAACCACCAGCCACTCCACAGAAGGAAGACTGAGCAATCTACTTCCATAGTGATACTGCCTCGCAACCCCAAGGAGGGGTCTCTGAGTCAAGCTGAGTGTGGCCATGGGGTGTCTGAGTCGAGCCGACTCAACGTTTACATGTGCAGCCACTGGCTGATTTTCAGAAGGAGATCATTGGGTCCTTTCTCTTAGTCTATCTTAGTCTGGAAGCTCCATGGAAACTTGTTCATCATGGTGACCCTGCTCGTATTTGAATACTGGTAGCACAGCCTCCAATATCATGGAAATCACCACAGTATGACAAACTGACAGACAAGTCCAAAGATGTCACTTTGAGGACTAAGGTGTGCCTGACCCAAAGCATGGTACTCTCAGTCACCTCATATGCATGAGAAAGCTGGACAATGATAAGGAAGGCCTAAGAGGAACTGATACCTTTGAATTATGGTGTTGGCCAAGAATATTGAATATACCATGAACTGCCAGAACGAAACAAATTTGTCTTGGAAGAAATACAGCCAGAATGTGCCTTAGAAGTGAGGATGGTGTTGCGATCCACAGCCTCTATGACTGAGAGCAGAGGAGCTAGATGGTGCCCGGCTACCACTGTCAACCACTCAGAGGGGGATCTATGTAGGAAA